ATATATATATATATATACATTATGAAATTGACAAAGTCCGACAATTATTTATGACATTTTTATGTTTATACATTCTTTTTTATAGATACAAATATTTCAGTAAATGCACTGTTTATAATAAACAGTATTAACAACATTTACCAACCTGAATGTCCGAGAAATTGTTGTAGAAAATATGCGTCCTCCAACAGGAATCGAACCTGTATCCTATACGGAACCGTCATATAGCCTGACGTGCTTTTACCGATTGAGCCACAGAGGAGCGTTTCGGTTAGCAAGGTCGATTTTACTGTTTTTAAACTACAATTCTCCATGATTTCCTCTCATACATTCATATTTGCTTGATGCGTATACAAATGTAAACAAATGACGTCATACATTATGAATTGGACGAAATCCGACAATTATTTTAAGACATTTTATGTTTAAAATATATATATATATATATATATATATAGAATAGATAGATAGATAGATAGATAGATAGATATGAGTGATCGATATGTTATATATATATTAATTATATATATTACATTTGTATATTCGTTATATATATGTATTCTATATATATATATATATATATATATATATATATATATATATATATATATATATATATATATATATGTATATATGTATGTAAAAGTAAGACAATGCTTAAAAATTCATTTCAGTTATAATTTATTTCATGAATATATTTATTCAAATATTCATTTCTTCAAACTAAAGTTTCTTTAAGAAAACTATATGTGTGTTTGTGTGTGTGCCTGTAATGTATATAACTAATATATATATATATATATATATATATATATATATATATATATATATATATATATTGGCTAAACATTGCATAGCGCTAATGTATAACACATATACACCAAATACAACATTTAACGAATACATATGTATATGAGAATATTTTTATATAATTATTTACCACCAATCATACACATACGCATATATTTAAAATTATATACATATGTATATATATATATAACACGTATATATATATATATATATATATATATATATATATATATATATATATATATATATATATTAGTTGTAAATATTACATCGTGCTAATGTGTATGACCATGTATATATATTCACGGCAAATATAAAATCTAATGAATTCATCACCCTCCCTGTATATCTCTATATAGCTATATGTGTCTGTGCGTGAATACACTTCCATATCGACACGCAAACAGACAGAAACACTGTATATATTGAATGAAGTACGTGGCTGTTATTTGTATTATATTGCTGCTTGTTATTGTTGACAGGGACACGCAATAAGTCGACGCTATTTTCAAGGCTATCTACTTGTCTATTATTATTTCCGAGTGAAAATATGTACGTCTATTCGTGCCTACATAAGTTTGTATATTCCTCCCCTTTATAAGCATTCCAAAGCTAAACCGAACTGAATGCGCTTTTCATATCAATTTCAAAATCACACGAATTTGAAAGCCAATAACAATGTGCATAAAGGAAGACAACGAATATTTGCCGAGTCGTCGGAATGTGTTCATCTATCAAAAATTTACATGTTCCGCATAGTTTAAGAAGATAATAACCCTCAGAAAGAGAGAGAAGGGAAGAGAGAGAAAGAGGGAAGAGAGAGAAAGAGGGAAGAGAGAGAGGGGGAAGAGAGATAGGGGTGAGGGGGTGTGTGATAAACTTATTTCGAGATTCTTGACAAAATCTAAAGAATGGTCTCTAATGTTGACCTGGCATCTCGGCTTCAGTCTCTTTCCCACCTCCGTGGCGTAGCTTCCCTCTGTTTGTTTCGTTTTTTTTGTTTTTTTTGTTTTTTTTTTATAAATATGGCAGTTGTTCTAACGAGCTTTACTCATTGCTATTCCGCATGCATGAATTTAATCGTACTAATATTTTGGTGACTAAACCGCATCCTTTTTAATGCTGAAATACCTAGATCTAACCCTATGTTCTATTCTAATAACGATGAAACTGCAATATTGTCTAACATGGAGTTATTAGCTGAATTTTTATTTCAATATTTTACTGCACAATGTTCGATTTATGTTGCGTAAGGAGAATCATTCCGATAAAGAAGGCGATTATAATGAAAAGGAATTATTTGTTTTGTACAATAAATACCATCTTTAGCCCACTGTGCCGTGTTAGATGGTTTTTCTTCCCAGAATCCATTTTCCATATTTATAAATCTTCCATTCATCCATAGATTGAATATTGCTGCCATATCTGGTCTGGAGGTCTTGTAATACATCTAGAGATTCTTGACAAAATCCAAAGAAGGGTCTGTGATGTTGGCAGAGACGAACCCAGACGTGGCTATCCCTACCAACAGAGTTTTGTCTGGGAAGGTAGACAAAACTGACCCCTTGTATGCGGGGTCTAAGGGGAATTTTTGCCGCAGTAGGTTGCCAATTCTTTCTGCGGTAGACCAGTTGCCATCCAAGGCTATAGAATCCGGTCTGTCCTGCTATTTACTCATAACTGCGGTGGGGGGAGTACTCATACCTTTCCTAAGGGTATTAGCACGTAAGTGAATGCAATGGATTCGACTGGAATTCGAACTCGGCTCTCCGCTATCCATTACTCCACCGTGCCTCCTCTTATATAGGAGAGGCTAATTGTAACAGACTAGAATATTAGAAAGTAAGAAATTCAAAAGACAATCGTGTTCGAGGATGGATGAGACAGCGATGTTATTTAACATGGAGTTATTAGTTGAATTTTTATTTCACTATTTTACTGTACAATGTTCGATTTATGTTGCGCAAGGAGAATAATTCCGATAAGGAAGGCGATTATAATGAAAAGGAATTATTTGTTTTGTACAATAAATGCCACTTTAACCCACTGCGCCGATTTTCTTCTCAGAATCCATTTTGAAAATTTGTAAACCTACCATTTTTCCGTACATAAAATATTTTGCTATCATATCTGGTCTGGTGTTCCTGTAATATATCGAGAGATTTCGGACAAAATCTAAACAACGGTCTGTAATTTTATCGATCCTGACCTGGCATCTCAACTTCAATCATTTTTTTCCACCGACGTGACGTGGATTCCTTTTATCTTTTCTACAAATATTTTCATGGAAATTATTCTCCTTATTGTCTAGTCTGCATGAATTAAGATTGCTATTAGCTTGACAACTGGGTTCAACCATTTTACTGTGGAACTAGCTAGATGGAACTGTCCGTTCTATTCTCATAGATTCTCTCTTGTGGAACTTACTTCCTAGTTCTTGTTTCTCGGCTACCTACAATCTTCAAAAATCTAAGTACTGTCACTTCAATCGCCATATTCTGTTTTCATGAATTCTCTTCCTTTGTTTACATTTTTCTCACTTTTCACTAATGTCTTTTCATTGTATTTCTTTCCCTTTTTGCCTCCTAATGATATTGTCGATTTGCTTGAGGTGAAACGGTAAAAAGTGTTGATGTAAAAATGCCCCGTTTGATACTTTGTTAAATTTATCTTAGAACTGTGTTTGGAATTTACTCTTTTCTCTTTATTTCTTGTGCTGTCTACAAATCTTAGAAAATATTCAGAAGTTATCAGGTCATCCCATAAGTTCTGTCCGAATTTTGAATGAAGAAAACAAGTGACCAAATGTTACATTTAATTACAGATTCAATCAACAATGTATTTTCCCTGATTATCTATGACTTCCTTCCATCTATTAACAAGCTTACTATCAGGTCATCCCATAAGTTCTCTCCGAATTTTGAATAAAGAAAACAAGTGACCAAATGTTACATTTAATTACAGATTCAATCAACAATGTATTTTCCCTGATTATCTATGACTTCCTTCCATCTATTAACAAGCTTACTAATTCCATTACTGTAAAATTCTTTTGGCTTTGATTCGAAGAACTCACAAATGTCAGTTTTAATCTCTTCCTGTGTTACAAAAGCTGTTTCTTCCAAATGATTCTGTAAGCTACGAAACAAATGGTAGTCTGAAGAGAAAGATCGGGAGAATAAGGTGGAAGATGAATTTTCTCACAACCAAGCAGGCATTTTTTTTTCTTCAAGGCTTGGTTCAAACGCTCTAATTGCTGACAGTATATTTAAGCATTAATTGTTGCATTAGGTGGTAAGAATTCAAAGTGGATTATTCCTTGGCGATCCCACCAGATTGAAAGAAGAACCTTTTGCCCATGAAGTTTTCTTCTCGGCTGTGGCTGGGGTCCTTCCCCTTTACCAAGCCACTGTCTATGACGCTTAACATTTCGATGAAAGATCTATTTTTCGTCGCCAGTCACAAGTCTATCCAAAAAAGGTGAAACAAGTTGGCGAGAATGGAGAGAAGAGCAGATGTCAACTCAGGATTGAGGTTGTTTTCAGACAGTTCATGAGGCACCCATTTTCCAAGTTTAGGAACTTTTCCCAGTTGTTGAAGATGGCGATGAACAGATGTATGGTTTGAACTGAGAACCACTGCCAATTCTTCAACTGATAAAGCAGGATTTTCTTCAAGGGCTGCTTCAAGAAGCTTTTCATCAAACTCAACTGGATGTCCGGTACGATCTTCATCTTCAAGGGTAAAATCTCCACCTCTGAATTTTGCAAACCATCTTCTAAAAGTTCTTTCATTGACACATTTCTCTCCATAAACTGGGTGAATGTTTCTAGCCGCTTCGGCTGCTGAGTTTCCTTTCTTGAACTCATAAAGCATTATGTGCCTCAAATGATTCTTAGGTACTTCCATGTTAACAGGGTTTTAATCAAACAAAATTTAATGTTATTGTTCTCTGAAATAAAATTTCATCAGTTTAAATGCATCTAAACATAAAAATAATGGTCAGCTCCATTAGACATTATAAAATACTCTTTAAGTTTTGTTCATTTTAACAAAAAGTTAAAATTCGGACAGAACTTATGGGATGACCTGATATATGAAAATGGCTTCCACATCCATCTCGAAATTAAATATCAGCCAAGAAAAGAAACACGTTTTTCTCTTCTTGATTGATTCGGAAAAATATGATTAAAGTAACCCCAAGCGAAGCAGTAAAGTCACTAAGACACAAGGGGTTAATGAGTGTGAAAGAATTAGAAAACAGAAATATTATTAAGGATCGAGAAGAATAAAAAAATAATGTAATCAGGAGGACAGTAAAAAGCGATTGAGATTCTATTTAAATTTTTGAAGATCAAAGTTGTTTGGAAAGCATAGAACCAGAAGAGTATTCAGCAAGAAAAAAGAAAAGAAACTGTTAGCATAGAACCTACGGTTGCATCTAGCTAATTCAACTTTAAATTGATGAGTTCTTTTTGCTAACTAAGTTATGTGCCATGTGTAATACAGATTTAGGCGATCATGTATCTTTCGATACATGACTGACGAAGCATATTTTTCCCGCAGTAGTTTGCCATTTCTTTCTGCAGTAGACCAGTTGCCATCCAAAGCTACAGAACCCGCTATTTACCCATATCTGGGGGGGTGAAGAGGATTCATTCCTTTCCCAAGGGTATTAGCACTTAAGTGAATGTAATGGATTCGACTGAAATTTGAACTCGGCTCTCCGATTCCCTAATCCGAGCCGCTATCCATTACTGCTAACATAGTACCGCGCTTAAATGAATAAAATCTAGGTACCATAACGAAGTGCTTGTCCGAAAGGCACAAGGAAGCAACTTTATAGATGTGGGAAAAGTAACTGATACCGAGACGCTAGGTAAGGATCAATAATATTGGTGATTCTTCTTTGGATTTTTCAAGAATCTGTAAATATATAGCACGAGCATCGGACCATATGTGGCAGCAAGGTTTGAAGCATTGAGCAAAGTAAGCAACAAAGAAGTCTTAAAGAAAATCGAAACAGAAAGGACACTTCTACTCAGAATCAAGAAAAGACAGCTGATATTCCTTGGGCACTTAATGAGGAAAGAGAACTTGGAAAATTTAATGCTCGCAAGGCCATAGAGATAGAATTTAGTGAACTACTTAACTGACGAGATTACGTGAATGAATGACGAAACGGAAAGAGGAGCTTTAGCAAAGAGAGGAAACCTGCCAATGGCTACCATGGATGAGAAATTGTGGATAACTATGACCGTCTATGTCCTGAAGCCACGCTGCACATACCTATCTAGCGATCTTGAGTAAATGAATGGCAGAGCAAGTTTTAGGAGAGATAAAAAAAATAAAAGACAAAATTTATTAAGTGCTATAGAGGTCAGGAAATTGTGCAGAGCCATTATCGCCAAGGTCCTGAAGGGACACGGTACATAGAAGAAGAAGCAGGTGGAGGAGGAGAAGGAGGAGGAGAAGGAGGAGGAGAAGGAGGAGGAGAAGGAGGAGGAGGTTACTGGCGGTTAAAAATCCAAAACGAAGAAAATGAAACCAATCTAGGAGAGCGTCTTTGGTCTTGGTTGGAATGAAAAATAAATTCATCATTCGGAATTGCTAAATTACTGCCTTGCTATCGTCGGAGCAACTGCTTATTTTTGATAACACATTGAAAGAAGAAGGACTTTTGGTGGCGAAAGAAACTCGACCGCACTTTTTCTTGCATGAAAATGTCGATCATGTTGCAAGCACTACGCAGCAGACGACCATTTAGCTCCAAAATTACAAAATCTTCAAAATGCGGTATACTCTCCAAAAATATTATCAGACTGATTCTACTCGCCAGCATTTTCGAGATATTGAAAAAAAGAATTTCACGAATTAATTCTAAAATTGATCTCTTACGATAAAATACAAAATCAAGCAGTGAATTGCGGTACTTTGAGGTTTAAAAAAATACTGACAAAATAATGATATTATGAAAGTTATAATAATAATTTGTCAAAAAGTTATAGAAAGTTGCCAATCAACACAGGAGAAAGATAGGTAAAGAATATGGTAGATAGATAGATAATCAAACTGGGATAGATAGGTAGATAAACTGAGATAGATAGATAGATAGATAGATAGATAGATAGATAGTCAAACTGGGATAGATTGGTAGATAAACTGAGATAGATAGATAGATAGATAGATAGATAGATAGATAGATAATCAGACTGGGATAGATAGATAGATAGATAGATAGATGAGATAGATAATCTGGGATAGATAGATAGATAGATAATGATAGATAGATAGATAGATAGATAGATAGATAGATAGATAGATAGATAGATAGATAGATAGATAGATCTACAAACAACGTCATTGTAAAATATTTTGTATTTCGGTGAAACATATTTTTGGTTGCTGTATAAACTTGGTTACCATTTTTTTTTCAATTTCTCCGTGATAGATAGATAGATAGATAGATAGATAGATAGATAGATAGATAGATAGATAGATAGATGTAACAATTTGTGCCTTTAATAAAACTCATCAGAGAATCACTTCATTCCTGGATATTCCTGATCTTTAAGATTCCTATCTACTCAGCGAAACCACTGTTCAGCCAGACCGTATACCGGATTTGGACGCTATCAAGGCAGGGGCCGAAATGACCAAAAGGCAGTCAGTACGCAGCAGGTTCCACATAACACTTCCGCCTTCGGTATAAATAAAATCATAATTTAACATCAAATAATTTTCAATCAATAACAATTGTTCCTGCAGTTCTTGTTTCGAAGCCAACTGGAACAAATAATTTCAGACGAAAGCAAACTTTTCGACAGAAATCACAGTACTGGACAAGAGCGAGCAAATTTAGCTTAAATATCCACTGTCTATACACGCCATTTCATGTTAACACTGGCGCCAAAGACACTGTTATAAACCCCTTTCTTTCTCACATATGAAAGTCGATACTGACAGTTGCATTGTTACCGATTTATTACTTACATAAATACGTACACATAAGACAAGAACATTAAACTCTCACTTTCAAACGAGCTTTTTTTTTTTATGTGTTCTGTGTCCATTCAGGACATGAGCAAATATGGTTGCCTGCAACTATTTGTTCTTTATAGCTTTCTAAGTAACATAAATTTCTGTTAGTCATGTTTCGCCATCTATTCACACGAGGTATTTAGGTGGCCTACTAAATCCACTTATCCTTTTTCCCTTCAGTATGTCTTGTTCTCCGAGCCTTCTTTCCGACTTATGTGTCCAAGTAATTTCAGTTGTTTCTTTATAAATCCAGAGCGTGTGTGCTGTTAGTTTCTATTTCACTTCAAACTTTCCCGTTGTTTACACGCAACTTGCTTGGTATCTTCAGCACTCTTCTAGAGATAAAAATTTCTGTTACCTCCAATGTTCTATTCATCTGTGACCAATATTCTCCAGCATTCACTGCCACATAGGAGGTTTTATGTTACATAGCATACTATTTCTGTGTCTCTAACGAAATGTTTCTTTTTCTCGGTACTTTACCTAACTTTTGAAACGATTTTTTTTTCCAATGCGCGTTCAGATTCAGTACCAAATTTTCCTTCGTCTGTTAAAGAACTTCCGGTTATTTAAACTTCTGCAGTTGTTCGATCTCCATTTTGTAGTTCGTATCTTGGGCGTTTTCTCTTGTCGACAACCATAAACCTGTCTTCGTACAATTGATATTACTTTCTTCTCGGAAGATATTACGATCTTTTCTCGGAAGTCCTGTAGTTTTCAATTTGCGCCTGCCATCAACGTCGGAGTATCTTAAATGACAAATGTGCATAACATTTTACTTTGTCCCACCTAGACTTACAAACAAGGTCATTGTAAAATATTTTGTATTTCGGTGAAACATTACATATTTATGTTTGCTGTATAAACTTGGTTACCATTTTTTTTTGCTTTCAATTTGGTCTCTTTCTCTTATTACGAACAACCCAATAATCTTTGATTTACTAAACTACTTGAAGACACGGTGAAGCGGGCGAACGTGAACCAATCCTTGACACTAGACTTAGTTGATGATTCAGGTAATTCCACTAGTATTCGTCCAGATTTGAACACAGAAAAACAGAGAATATTACTTTTTTTCCGTATGGTATTTGCACTTGAGTTAATCTATCTACAGACAGGAATAAATAAACTGATAAATAGACCCCAACACCTATTACGAGTCAATGTAGTAATCTGGAACCAAAATAATTAATAATAAAAGAAAAAATTAAAGTTAAATAATAAAAAATACTTTAAAATACAGGTGAGATTCTTATGAAGGTAAACTGGCAACATGCAACTCCGTGATGGAAAACACCTATTAAAAAAAGGGTGCAGTTGCAGCCTCAACTTACAGGTGCCACGTGGTACTATGATAGAATGTGCATTGCAGCGTGCAGAAATCTTTAAACACTTCATTTGAGCAGATTGTCCAGTAAAATTTAGAATTTACTGAACCTAATCCATTATATATATATATATATATATATATATATATATATATATATAGTTATCCACAGACAGACTGTTTCGCTGTATCACAGTTTGGTATCAGTCAGAGATCCTACCCTAAGCCATATATGTGTGTGTGTGTGTGTGTGTGTGTGTGTGTGTGTGTATATATATATATATATATATATATATATATATATATATATATATATATATATATATATATATATATATTATTCTAGAATATTAAAACATGTAGGAAATCGTTATATAACAGCAATTATGTTTCAACACCATAAATGGGAGTTGTTATTGAGTGACATTTGGAATTAAATGTTACGTACAGTGGTATTATACTTCATTTATTCTCATTTTACCTGGATATATATATATATATATATATATATATATATGTGTGTGTGTGTGTGTGTGTGTGTGTGTGTGTGTGTGTGTGTGTGTGTATTTATGTATGTATAAATCTGCTAAACTAATTCAGTTTTTTTTTTCAAAGTTTTCAGATAAGACGTTTAGCTATCTTGACCTCCTAAGAGTCACTTAAAAACCTTTTGAGTTTGTCAGCTAGAAAGAGAACAGGTGAAAATCGTTTTGTATCAGCCCCATTATCTTCTCAAATGAGCAATGGTGAGAGGTAAAAGATCATTCAGGCCTTGAGAAATGGTAACAACATTCATAATCTGGATTCCTTCTTCAGAGTCTATTCAAGAACTGTGAATGCTTAAAAATAAGGGAACAGTAGAGGAGAAAACTGAATTAGGAGGGCACAACAGGAAGGGGGATCATCATTTCAACTTTGAGCTAAAGAGATCAATTAGAAAAGATCCAACTCAATTCATAAAACATTTGGCACGGGAGAGAGGAGTTTCAGGTTTGTTAGTTTAAATGGCATTGAAAAAAAGACTTGAAAATGAAATCGTACGTGAAACCTGTGTGGCAACTTGTTACTCCAGGTAAGAAAATTAGGTTAGATAGGGCGAAAATCATTTTGAATAAGTTTGGAAAATGATCCTGGAATATATATATATATATATATATATATATATATATATATATATATATATATATTGGTAATCCGTATGGTTAGTCCCAAGGAGGATGAAATCCTGAGAGCTCAATGTAAATCCAGAGCTAATAATTTAAAGAAAAACAGACCAATTTAAGGTTCCACTGTTATAATTTATTTCACCAGAGCCCTTTTAAAGAACGCTGGATCATCAGACATCACTTCCACAAGGTGAAACGAAAAATGAAATGAAAATTCACACTTTTGTCGGGTAGTATTAAGTTTATGTAACTTAACAGAGAGAGTAGCGAGGACAATTAATTTTTAAATGTAGACATGAAAACCACCTCAATCTAACTAAATATATTTAGAAATAACTATATAGAAAGGAAAATATTATGTTATTTCATTTTGATTTTTTTTCCTTTTGTTTACGTTTCCATTATCTATGTTATTAAATATCCCACATTGTGATAATAGAAGATCTACCAAAAATGGTGAAACGTTGTGAGAAGCTGGACGCAAATTTACTATGGATAATCTAGCGGTTAAAGCATTTTTTTTTAGGATTTTCGTATTATTAATTTGCTTTCTTTTTTAATTAGATTAGCATTTTTAAAATCCAAATTGCTTTCACTCTCGTTACGATGTGCAAGTAAATAACCTGCAAAAGGTCGATAAACCGTAAAAAAACAAAGCAATCAATGTAAACAATGTTTGTCCCATCATTATCCTTCCTAGTTACTGCCCTGCCAATAATTTACACAAACTTGATAGGTATGTTATTTATTGTTTCCATCTGTCTCACTTGCTTTCAATATGTTGTGTGAGTGTCAAATTCTCCAAGCCTTCTTTTCTCGTTATATGTACTAGAAATTCAAAATGTCTCTTTCTAATATGAATTCTTTAGATTTTCGTCCCCATTTTCCTTAAAGCTTTCCCTTTCTACATATGTCCAGTTGATGGTATTCTCATCATCTTTCTGTAGAACTACATTGCTGTTGCCTCAAGTCACTTTCGATCTGTGAAGAGATTATTCAGAATTTACTGCCATATAGGAGGATTCATTTGTACATAGCATATAAACACACTTGTCTTTGTTTCTAACGAGACTTTCTTGTTTCTTAATACTTTTCTTAGATTCTGGAAGACATCTTTCGCTATTCCAATGCGCCTTCGGATTTCTCTTTCACATTTTTCATCGTCTTTTATAACCTTTCGCAAAGTGCTAAATGTCTGGACTTGCGTTATTTTGACATTTCCAATTCGTAGCTCCCATCTTCGGCTGTAAATCCGAGCAAGATTGTATATTTTTAGCAACGACTAAAATAAGTCTGACTGGCAAGACAGATTGAGGGAAGAAGGCAAAAGGTACAGAGGAAGAAGCGTGTAGTATACTTGATGGGTGTGAGTAAATGGACGGTAGAACATGGTTTGGGTGAAATATCAAAAAAAAAAACTTATTAAGAGCTACAAAGGGCAGAAAGATATGGAGAACCATGATCACCTACGTTTTGAAGTACTGCAAAAAATGTATGTCCTTATTTGTAGATCCTTAATTTCCGCGGAATAGCGGATTAAAGTAATTTTATTATAATGAAGAAACATTCCGGTCATTCGTTAGTAACTATCAAATCAGAATCTCGTGATGTTGTGGAGAGTAAAGCTCATTGTCATCGGCGGTGTTATCGCAGTTAATCGTCCACCGTCCCTTTACCGTCGCGACCCTCAATCACCCTTCTTATTTCTACAATTAAGCCGCCAACACAGAGTCTCTACATGTCGGTTTCAGAGAGCTTCCGTTTGCCGAGCAAGTGTCGAACGTCGGTAATACGATTCGCGCCGTGACACCGACGACATTCAAAATGGATACCGCGGCCCGTTGCGGACCTAAGGCTAGCTAGATGGCCGTTCAGCACAAGCTCAGTTTCCGTTCTCATTTAGTGGAGCTTTAATTGCATACTGGCGACCCCAGCGAGAGTGGTGGGTCTGGATTACACATCGCGAACACGCTGGGCGCCCAATTTTCTCCTTCCTCCGAGGGAAAAAGCCGACAAGATACATTTCGTGTCTTGCCATTCAATCAACGCGCGAAACTTAGTCTGTTCATCTGCAGACATCACTATGACCAGTACCACCCACCTTCATTTCTTTCTTTCTTTCTTTCTTTCTTTCTTTCTTTTCTTTTCTTTCTTTC